TTGTAGCTGCTAGATTTGCTTAGTTTAGAGTTCCTTGCGAGTACCTGTGGTTTTCGGTACTCACCCTTGCTTCTACACAATTGTGTAGGTTGACAGCTCTCTCAGATTCGGCTTAGTATTTTCTTTAGCAGATTGAGCTTTGGGACATACTCGAGAGGTAGCGGTTCATTCCAGACGTGCCCTTGAGTTATCTTTACTTTCAGTTTTGTTCTATTCGAGAACTATACTCTGAGACTTGTATATTTTTATTCGAATTCTGTATTTAGAGGTTTGTACATGTGACAATCAAATTCTGTGTAGTGTTGAGTCTCAATTAAAGTCTTCCGCTTATTTATTTTCTTTTAATCTCGTATTTCTACTTCTCTGTCGTTGTGGTTGGGTTAGGCTGACGTGTCCGGTGGGAAGTGGACACGTGCCATCACATCCGGATTTTGGGATGTGACACTATGTAACAAAATAATACAATTCACGATAATTAACAGATCAAAACATTGAAAAGTCATGAAAATAGTGCAATCAAAGAAAAACTCATTTTAATCTAGAAATCTGAAATGTGTCACATAAATTGGGACGAAGGAATATATTCGATGCTTTGACCATTGGGGTTTTAAATTAATTGCTTATTATTTTAAACAAATTGTTTGGTTATTAATTTAGTATTATATGGATATATTAATCAGAAACACGGCTTCAGTTGTCTTGCTATTCCATATATAAGACTGTCAGCTTCAGACTGCAAATTAAAGTTAGTCAGAGAGAGAGTTAGATTAAGGTAAACAATCAAATTAACATAACAAAAAGAGAGATATTAATTCCAAATTAGAAAATATGGTGAGAACTCCTTTTATTGACAAAAATGGAATAAAAAGAGGTGCATGGAGTGAAGATGAAGACAACAAATTAAGAGCTTTTGTTGAAAGATTTGGTCATCCCAATTGGAGGCAATTGCCTAAATATGCTGGTAAGCAGTACTCCCTCCGTTCCCTTTTAATTGTTATGTTGCGCTTTTCGAGAGTCAATTTGACTAAATTAGATTACATTCATTCGATATTTTAAAATAAAATTTAGATATTCAAAACCTATACGAAAAATACTATAAATTACAAGTTTTTCCATATCAATATGATGAAAAAAACATCTTAGAATATATATCAAAATTCATATAGTTTGACTCTCAAACAGAAAACTATAACAACTAAAAAGGAACGAAGGAAGAAGCATGCTTTATTTTCTTATAAAAAGTTTTTTGGAAGAAAAAATAAATCCTAGTACTAATTATTTATTGTTGGAAATTTTCAGGTCTAATGAGATGTGGAAAGAGCTGCAGGTTGAGATGGATGAATTACTTAAGGCCTGATTTGAAGAAAGGGAACTATAGTCTTGAAGAAGATCAACTCATAATTAAATTACACAATAAACTTGGAAATAGGTATATATATATATGTTGCACTTTAGACATTGCATTTTTATTAATCAATCAAACTAAGATGTCTATATATAGTACCCTTTTTGTATATTCCGAAATCGTAATTATCTATCAAATATATTGCAGATGGTCCGCGATTGCTGAGAAATTAGGAGGAAGATCGGACAACGATGTCAAAAATCATTGGCATGCTCATCTGAAGAAACGTGTGAGATTAACAAATACAAATTCATCGCAGTCTGAATCATGTCAATTAAATGAGCAAAATGTTGCTGCAACCTTAACGTATCCAGAGGTTTCATCAAGTGATCATTTATATTCCCTTTTCAATGGATTAACGGATCACTTGATCGAACAAAATCAGTCCATTGAACAACTTTCATTTTTCACTTCATTCGAAACAGATTCCTTTTCCTGGACAAATAATCTCGAGACTGAATCCTTTGACCTTTTTTCAACCCAACCCTTCGATAATTTCTGGACAAAACCATTCTTTTAAGACATTTTTCATGATCAAAACTCGAATCTAAAATCTCGAAACAATTCCAAATATTACCATCACAACCCATGTACTATAGCATAATGACATTTCAGAGTATTTAATTTTGTATTTTGAATGAATAATTACATTATAGCCCATATTGAGCTTGTCACTTTGCTTTAATCAAATTGTCTTTTTAGATAATTGATCCTTCCTTCAACGTGCTAAAAGGATATTTTATTCTCATGAATATATAAATGAAACTTGTAATAGTATATATTTGGGCTAAAATTGTCTACAACACGACGATATATATGACGTAGTACTACTCGTGCTTATTGATGACAATCATGAATGAAAAGAACACGTACGCAGTATTTAAAACAAATCATTCATTAATTTCAAAATAAATTAAGTATTTGTTTGGCGGCTCAAGCATATTAATGGCCTAAAGCAAAATTATCAAATGGGGACTTAACCTTAAATTGTTAATAACTTTTATATAATTGATTTCTTCTAGTTTTCAATTGATAATTAAACCATTCTTATTTTAAATTATTTTTCATGAGATATAGTATTCCAAATATGTCAAATTTCTTCTAATAATTCCTTCATTTTTCATGAAAAATTTACTTTTTCTACACATAGTATTCAATATTTGTTAAAAAAATTATAACTTATAACCTATTATTATTAAAAACGAGGGCCCTTATATTTGGAGACCTAAGACACATGTCTTTTTTTTAACACTGTCGAGCCGCCGCCCCTGAGTATTTGTTGGACTAATTTAATTTAATTTTTTGACAACAAACAACTGTACTTAACGCATAAACAATATCAAAGAGTTAAATGATGCACCAACATTCACTATACAGGTAAAACAGACCACTCAAAAAATCTTATGTTATAATGAAACAGAAAACTTTGACAAAATATTTATATGAGCATGATCGAGGAATATAAATATATATAATAAGTATATCTTCAAATAAATTCATTGACTTTCAAAAATCTTCACAAGTAATTTCTATGTCCCATGAAACTACACATATTTTTAAGATCATATCCATCACAATTTTTGCATTAGACAAGATTTACACCTTTGATCATCCCTTTTCCTAAGTGTTTTTCAATGTTTCACGAATTGCTAGCACATCAACGATGATGTGCTTCCCAATAAATTGAATATATAAGGATACCAAAGCCATGACACGAATTACCATAGATATTCATACTCGTCACTCCAAAATATTGATTAGTATTAACAAAAATACCATTCCATCATATAGCAAAAAAATCCATTATACTTCCAACAAGTGAAAGTCAGCTGGTGAAAGGATTTTGGTATTTTTTTTTTAAAAAAAAGGATCAATTAATGTTATACTTTCTGTATCATAAATCATGTTTATACTAAAAAATATTTATCATTTTTTTCTTACAGGAACTTGTAAACAACGTTTTAGTTTGGTTGATGTGGGCAGGTTTGGAATATATATAATTAATTAATAGATTGAAATGTGAACACTGACCACAAGAAAGGGACATCAACATGTGCACACCTAATTAAGGACTTTATAACAGAGAGTGCCCTCTTACTAAAACTAGTTGATTCTTCATTGACCTACCCTACAATTTTTAATTTCACTACATTATGGATACTAAGTAGTTAATTAGAGCAGACGCGAAATCAGGGTTAAGAATTTGAGGATTTTAAATTTTGGGACTAGAAAAAATATTGGAACATGCTTCCTTTAAAAAGGAAAAGAGAATTTTTTGTTGATATAGTAGGGGTTTGAACCCACAACACGAGTTTGAAAAGCATTTTCACCGTCCTTTTTTACCACTGAGTAGTCAATCAATTTTTTTAGGAGGTTCACAAGTTAATATACATATATATTTATTTAATTTTCTAATATAAATACAGGATATACGGAAAAGCTAGTGGGTTCATCTGAACCCATGAACCCCACCTAGCTCCACCTCTGAGTTACAGTCATGTATGAAATTTATTATTTTATGCATGATAATTTAGATATTTATATGTTAATTATTTCACTTTTTATATCATCATCTTTATGATTTTCTCATAAATATTGTAATAATTGATATTGGTTATATGTGATTGGAAAAATATTTTGAGGCTTAAATAATAAAATAATTGTGCACAAAAGCTAGTTCGATCATAAAAAATAAATGAATAAATCTCTTTTTATTAGAACTTTTTCATGTTTTCAACTGGACTCTTGAAAATTTGAACGGTGCTACATAGATTGTGAGAGAGAAAATAAAGAAATGGATTAACACGCCTTTACTGGATCTTCAGTTGGTGGCTAAAATTATCTTAGAGTAAAGATACTAAAGAAGTCTCATTATTGGAATATTATCCGAACTAGCTAGTCATATAATTGGGGGTTTACATTAATTAATTGTTTATTATAATTACTACAAAACAACTTGTTGTTTGGTTTAGATGAGAAATAAATTAATAAGAAAACACGGCTTCAGTTGTCTGCCACTATCACATATAAAAGAGAACACTTTACACTGCAAATTATTCAGATAGTGAGTTTAATTAAATCAAATTAACATAACAAAAAGAGAGATATTAATTCCAAATTAGAAAGTATGGTGAGAACTCCTTTTGTTGACAAAAATGGAATAAAAAGAGGTGCATGGAGTGAAGATGAAGACAACAAATTAAGAGCTTTTATTGAAAGATTTGGTCATCCAAATTGGAGGCAATTGCCTAAATATGCTGGTAATTAATTAATTAGTAAACGTACAGTATATGTTTTATTTTGTATATAAGCTACTTACTTTTTAATAATTTTAGGTTTAATGAGGTGCGGGAAGAGTTGTAGATTGAGATGGATGAATTATTTGAGGCCTGGCTTGAAGAAAGGAAATTATAGTCATGAAGAATAACAACTCATTATTAAATTACACAACGAACTCGGAAAAAGGTACGTATATATGTTGAATTAATAAGAAGTTGTGAGTCTCACATCGACCCTTTATTAAATCGACACCTTTTTTTATAATTCTCTTTTAATGAATACGTACGTACTAAATTTTGCAGATGGTCAGCGATTGCTACAAAATTACTAGGAAGATCGGACAATGATGTCAAAAATCATTGGCATGCTCATCTTAAAAAACGTGTTACAATGGATCAGCAAATTATTGATCAATCTTCAGAGTCAACAGGCCGATCTCAAAATTCTTATAAGGTTTTGGAACACAAAGAAGTTATGAAAGAGGTGTCAGATCATCTTGTTCATGATACTTCAATTCATCTAGAGGTTTCATCGAGTGATCATCATGATTTATATTCCGATTCTAGTTCCCATGTAAATGGATTGGACTGGATCGTAGAAGATAATAATTACATGATATCAATGGAACCACTTCCAGACTCCTTTTCCTGGACAATGAATCCTATCGATAATTTTCAGACTGAACCTTTTGACCACATTTGGACCCAATTCGTCGATAGTTTCTGGACACAACCTTTCTTTTAATTCTTAATTATATATATACCTCAACTTTTAACGACATTTTGATACATTCTATCGAATTATTTTTGTGAGAAGGATGAGTACAAGAACTTGTACTGAATGGCATATCTTAGCTTTTGATTTCAAATTCTGTAAATGTGCAACTTTCATCACGGAATAATTATTCGTATTTTGTGTAATATAGGGTCTTGTAGTTGTAATACAGAAATAAAAATTATATTGATCATCCAGTATCTACAAGTGATCGATGAGTCTATGAAAAGTCATAGTTTAGTCAATTATATTTACGTGACTGCATATTATATTTTCTACCCTTCTCGATAAAGACAACAAATATAAATTATAAGTAGGAATAAGGGAGTCAACTCTACACTTAGTTAGGAAAGAGGGAGGAAGAGCTAGCTAGAGAGAGTGCAACTCTTTTCTGTTTTCTATCCCTCTGTTTCATATTACTTGATCTATGCTGACTTGATACATTTTTAAAAAAAGTTCTAATTAGAGGTATTTTTACTAATCTAAACTTTATTAACGATGTTTTGAACTAAACATTTGACTAATACTACTTTACATAGTTATTTACTATTAAGAGTGATATAAAAAAAAACTTTCCTTGATTTGATAAAATAGACGAGTAAAATAAAACATCTAATGTTGATACATGATATGTCAAGTAAAAATGAAACGAGGAAGTACTTCACCGTCCACGTATAATATACTTTTATTTCAATAAATAAATATTTTTCGATAATTAAACATACAATGGAAAAAATTCTTTATCTAACTCTTCGAGAATGTGTGCATATTAAAATAACTAAATTAATTCCGGAAAAAAGACATAATAAGAAACTTCAATGTTTCAAAGTGGACGGTGTACCATATATCTGGGCATTATTTTTCACAATTACGCGGATGCTAATTACATAAAAAAAATTTAAAAAAAGTCAATTATTTGACAATTTCAACTCAAGAAAGAAACAAATTTGACTCCTAATAATTTGCTTAAACAAAATACTCCATTACATGTCATTTTCACAGGGATTTGTGATAAAAGACTTAAAGGTTGGACTTTCATGTTTGAAATTTTTACCCTTGTTTGGTTTTGATTTCATTAATATTGTGTGTTAACTTGTCACTTTTGAGGTGTTAAATAGACAAGTTGAACTTAATTTGAATAAATAAAAGTAGATTGAGTTAATAAATGGGTGACTGACTACGAAACCTTACTTAGATTGAAATGAATTGAGCTAAACTCGTTTAATTTTTATGAAGTTTGTATTCTTTTATTTATTTACATATGAGAAAATACATCATTACCCCATTCAACTATAACATTTTTCTTAAAAAGACATTGAAAATTTACAAAGGTCCTAGTACCCCCTTAAACAATTTTAAAATGGTAAAAGTATCTCATCTTTGGATCAACCCCAAGTATAAGAAAAGAAGTGCATAGACGCAACAATTAATACTTACCACGTGTCAATTAGGTTAATTTTTTTTAAAAAAAATCATATATGTTATTTGTTATTATTTTTTAAAAATAAATAAATAAATAAATTATCTTTTCTTCTTCTTCAAAAATAATTCAACAGCAACAACCGTTCTTTACGCCGGCGGCAGCAATTTTCTGGCATAGCCACCAGTGGCGGACTCAAGATTTTCGTTCAGGGAGTTCGAAAAATAAAAGTATAAACGTGTAAATAAGCCTTTAGAAATGAAAACCTTGAATTCTTTTGGGTTTAAAACCAAACTTTTAACACATTTTTTAAAGTAAAAAAAAAAACTATAAAAAACTTGAAAAACAGAACTGAAAATAAAAAAAAAAAACTAAAAAAAACTGAAACTGAAAAAGAAAAAAAATAAAGTGCTATCACTAGGATTCAATCCAGTGATGTACAACTTAATTTCAGGGGTATTTGCCACTGCGCCATCAATTTCTCTTTGTTATTGAGGAGTTCAAAATATATATATCTACAGAAATACAGAAAATTTACCTTATATATACCGTGTATTCGTGCAATTTTTGCTGAGGGGGTTCGGGTTCGGGTGAACCCCCTCTATACCACGTGGGTCCGCCCCTGATAGCCACCAATGCTATAACATCAATAACACATCTTAACATTGGCAAAGCAAATCTATAGGAGCAAAATCTCTTCTATTTTTTCCATGTTAATCTTCTTTTTGTGTACTTTGCCTTTGATTTTTGCCCGAAATCAAGATGTGTTGTATCTGCAAAGACCGGAAGTCTCTCTAATTTAGATGGGGTATTTTCTACTTCGTTTGAACATGACCCCTGGCGATTTCCTCTCCGTCGTTCGTCGTCGTCGTCAATCTCTCTGGCGTTTCTTTCCGATCTTCCTCCACCACCTCACTACGCTTTCATCTCTTTCTCTTTCAACAATCTCATCAATTTTCTTCGAAGTTTTGGAGTGAAATTTTTTTATGGCCACCAATTTATTTTTCAGTGCAAGCATTGCAACTTGTTCATTGGAGTGCCGATCGATCCCAATTGCAAAAATGCAATAAAACTACTTCTTTTTTTTCCATTAAAAATACAATAAAACAAATAGAGTAAAAAGAAAATCATATTTCTAATTAAATAAATACTAAAATAAATAAAATAATAATTTTTTGGTTTATCTCATTCGCTAGTGGCGAGTGAAATACACTTTGTGTGCCACCTAGGATCCTTAGGGGGTAATTAATCCACTCCGAAAAAGAATAAAGGGGTACTAGGACCCTTTCAAAGTTTAAGATTTCTCTTTGTTATTGAGGAGTTCAAAATATATATATCTACAGAAATACAGAAAATTTACCTTATATATACCGTGTATTCGTGCAATTTTTGCTGAGGGGGTTCGGGTTCGGGTGAACCCCCTCTATACCACGTGGGTCCGCCCCTGATAGCCACCAATGCTATAACATCAATAACACATCTTAACATTGGCAAAGCAAATCTATAGGAGCAAAATCTCTTCTATTTTTTCCATGTTAATCTTCTTTTTGTGTACTTTGCCTTTGATTTTTGCCCGAAATCAAGATGTGTTGTATCTGCAAAGACCGGAAGTCTCTCTAATTTAGATGGGGTATTTTCTACTTCGTTTGAACATGACCCCTGGCGATTTCCTCTCCGTCGTTCGTCGTCGTCGTCAATCTCTCTGGCGTTTCTTTCCGATCTTCCTCCACCACCTCACTACGCTTTCATCTCTTTCTCTTTCAACAATCTCATCAATTTTCTTCGAAGTTTTGGAGTGAAATTTTTTTATGGCCACCAATTTATTTTTCAGTGCAAGCATTGCAACTTGTTCATTGGAGTGCCGATCGATCCCAATTGCAAAAATGCAATAAAACTACTTCTTTTTTTTCCATTAAAAATACAATAAAACAAATAGAGTAAAAAGAAAATCATATTTCTAATTAAATAAATACTAAAATAAATAAAATAATAATTTTTTGGTTTATCTCATTCGCTAGTGGCGAGTGAAATACACTTTGTGTGCCACCTAGGATCCTTAGGGGGTAATTAATCCACTCCGAAAAAGAATAAAGGGGTACTAGGACCCTTTCAAAGTTTAAGTGTCTTTTTTAAAAAAGTGTTATAGTTGAATGAGGTAATGATGTATTTTCTCTTTACATATCAAGCCACAATCACACAAATAAATTAAAATGAGAATATTATTATTTATTTATTTTGGGTTTATCACCGATAATTCGTGTCTGCATTGGAGGCTCCACTAATTATATTTAAAACAAATTTAAAATCTCTAATTAAGTATGGAACAGACTCACCATGCATTACACGGTCGGGCAGGTTGAAATATTGTCGGATAAGACAAGAACAGTTGGACACATCTTATAAAATATTCCTAAACATTTTTATGGAACATGAACCTTTGGTTGACTCATTAAACATGACGCAAGCTGACGTAATATCGCTGACGTCGGAAACTGTAAACCCAATAGAAAGGTTTATTTAGATAAAAATTATCCAGGGGTATTTAAACAATAGTAATAACGCAACTTATTATAGGCAAATTATAATTCGATAAAGTAAAAATATATATTAACTGAATATGATTAAATAATAATTATATACGTTCAAACATAGGTCATGCAAATATTTATCATCATGCCATCATTTGGTGTATAAACATTATCGTTTTATTATGATTTGGTTTTTGTACACGTTAATAATTTACTATAATGTTGTTTCTTCGTGCTTTATTATTTATATTTTTCGTTTTGTCCTGCTTATTATACTATTGTTGTTTTTTTACTTAATTTTTCCTTGGCCGCGTAGGAGGTAGGTTGAAATAACATTTTACTGTCACTATGCAGACATCAAAGTATTTGAAAAATCAGAAAAAAATATATTAGTTGAACCTTGCAAGTTGCATGCATGAAATAATATATAACTTCAGTCAAAGAAATATTATACTCACTCTGTGTGATTAGAGAGTCAAAGAAAATTTTTGTTCATATTATTTTCGCAAATATTATTTAAAAAAATGACTGAGTTATATAATATTTTTAAAACTTGAAGAGACTCAATTTGAATTTACACTGATAATTAATTAATTTGACTATCGTATTCTTAATTATAGTATATTCGATATCGTATAAAGTGGAAGGAGCATAGTTAAGCTGTTTTCTTATAAAGAGTGATTGGATGAGGAAGTGGAAAAAGACATCCAGCATATTCAACTTGGACTAAGTATTTTGAATGGAGGAAAAATAAACGGATTTTTTACTTATTTTTTTTCATGCTTGACAAATAAGCAGAGTGGAGGTGCGGATGAGATAATTAGCGTGAAATGTTACTTAGAAAATTTGTTTTAAGCTACAGTTTCTAGTCATCATGGTGATATTAGAAAGTGGTAGATTTGCCAAATACAAAACGTTCATGTTTTTGTAAACCAAATGTGGAAATCATTTAGAACATCAAATGTTTTCAAAATATAGTGTAAAAATTAATCTTGATTATTTTGAGGAAATTATTCGATAGGATGAATAAAAATTGATTGAAATTATTCTGG